CCCCTGCACCCTCCCCTGAAACTCGCCGAACAGCCACTCCTCCTCAATCACCCTCTCGCCCCTCCTCACCACCCACACGAATTCCCTCCCGGAGGCCTCCAGCCCCTTCGCTATCTCACGTAGCTGAGGTGTTCGAAAAAATGTCATACTCCCGAAACACACGTAAACCACCGATTCCGGCTCCTTCGAGTCAAGCCACCTCAGGCACTCGTCATCCCCATCCGAATCCACGACCCGCCCGCCCAACAGCGAGACGGGCCCCACGTGCCACGTGTTCACTCCATGGGCCTCCCTGTAATGGGCCGAGTATTCGGGCTCGAGCTCATAGAACGTGTTCACAATCATCCCAAGGCTCGACTGATCGGAATCGAAAGCCTTATTCATCACATCGGCAAGTGGATGCTCGTCATCTCCCGTTATTATACTCGGGAGCCGTTTTCTCGTGATCTTGATATCACCCGGGACTCCCGGGACCACAAACTCCTCGTAATCCGAGTCGACTTTCTCGTGCGGCTTATTTTGCCTTAGGCTCTGAAAGAGACACATGGGGAAAAAGCCCGTTCCGTAGAAGCCCACTCGAGGAATCCCGAGCTCGCTGGCCAAAACGGTGGCCCACCAGAAGTATCCTCCGGCGACTATGCAGTCCGGTTGGGCCTTCCGAAGCATGTCTCCAACGGGATTTTGGAGAAAGTCGAGGGCTTTTAGGAAATTTACGGACATTTGTGGTGTAGTTGTGGAAGAGAGGTTTTCGCAGCCCTCGGGAAGGCCCGACTCGCGGCAAGGGAAGTCGACGAGGGAGATTTCGATTCGGAGGCCTTTTTCGCGGCCGAGTTTGATGGTTTGGGAAAATTGAGATGCGTTTGCGGGTGTGGTGATGATGGTCGATTTCGCGCCGTGGGTTGAGAATTTCCAGGCTATGTCGATCATGGGGATCATGTGGCCGGGGGCCATCATGGGAAGGAAGAAGATGTGGAGATTGTGGGCATATGAATCCATCTGGTATGGGTTTTAAGAATTTTGGGTTTGTGTAGAATTGTTGTGTGGTGATTGTTTGTGTTAATCTGGGTTCATTTATATATAGTGCAAGTTTTGTGATAATACTTGGGATATATGACATATTAAGTCAAGAAAGTAGACGTGTTTGAAGTTTTTTTGTAGTGCATGTTTTTCCATGATTTTGATGTGCACGTTTTATTGAAAATTCCTAGTTTGATCTGTCTTAATTAGGGTGCCAAAATGCATGAATATTCAAATAGCACTCTTTCT